AAACATTTGTGTCATAACCAGGGAAAAAGCCGTAAAGCGAGGACCCGTGCTGTACCGTACGCCGTGGGAACCAGTCCTGGCGTGACAGGAAGGTCTGACTTACGGTTTAGGAGTCCCTGGGACGCGATCTACGACGGAGAACGGAGTCAGAAGAAGCTGGACGGGCGGAAGGCCTGAACAGGATTCCTGGACACAGCTTAACGTGGTGAAACCTCCTGGATACTGAAACCAAGATGGCGTCTGAGAGAACCCGGAAGTGGATCCTCATTCAACGCTGACCTCGAACGGTAAGGAGCCAGGCAAGGGGAGTGCCTTAAGTAGGCTAGGGGTAGCAAACCAGCACCTCCCACAAATGCAGGCAAATTGCCTTAATACATATATATTTAATCAGTATCAGTCTACGTGCAATTTGATATTAATATATATATATATATATATATATATATATATCATTATATATATATTAATAGTAAAATACACCTAGACAGTGTATGTGTGTGTGTATGTATATTTGTATATATATATACTTAGATCATATATATACAATATATGATCTAAGTATATATTTATTTATATTTTACACTTTACTTTTTAATTAATTTTATTTATTTTTATTTTCAGCCAGCAGGGGGACCACCTGTCATTACAGGCAGCCCCCCTGCTGGCAATGCAGGAGGCAGCTACCCCCGGCCATGTGATTGTGGGGTTCTCGCAAGGACCTCACTCACACATGGCCGGGGGGCACCGGAGGAGGAGGATCTACCACGGGGGGGCTCCCTGGGAGTCCCCCCCACCGCGATCGCCGGGGTAAGTAAAGAAAGACCAGAGGGCGTACAATTACGCCCGGCGGCGTTTAGAGCCGCCTAAAATAGGGCGTAATTGTATGCCCTCCGGTCTTAAGGGGTTAATGATGTTTACGCAAATCTGCTTCCAAGAGACAATACAGACACCAAAAGTAGTTAGCTTGCTGAAAAGCTTTATGTGTGAAGAGTGTGTCCTACTTTTTTTCATTTTGGAAAAAGTGTAAATTTCAACAGAAATTTAAATTTTTATAAGTGAACCTGGTCACTCACCCCCTACCCCCACCACCACCACCTTTTCAAGCAGACAACAGGTCCTGTTACTTCCTGATTTGGTTAGTTTATTTGTACTGAACTCAAGAGGCAGCAATTGCCCAGAGCACCTCCCTCGCAAAAGGTCTCATTGAGCTGCATTGGGAAGTCTGTTATTGGAAGACACAGAAAGTCTGGGCGGGGTTAGAAGGGGAGGGCTTGCAACAGCTACAGATGAAAGATCTGCAGTTTTTGCATGCTGTTTTTAGCTATAACTCCAATAACAAATACATAATTAAATGAATGGATGTTATTATTTGGGGTATACCTACAAAAACAGTGATTTTTATTTATTTTGTATTTGGGCATTGAAATGTCCCTTAAATTTTTATATGCTTTGTTAATAAAGTGACCTTCTTTTGTGTGACACTGACATAGTGAAGTAAATTTTCCACATTCATATATACATTTTACCGAGAAACATTTTCTACACGAATAATTGTAATCGGTGATGTTGACATAAGGCATTCGTTTTGTGTTGTTCGTATCCATGTGTTTTTTATGGCCTCCAGCCTGTGTCCGTTACTTTCAGGTTTTAGTCTTTTAAATTTCACAGCCAAAATTCTAAAAATAGAAGATATATTTTACTCTTCTAACATCCTTTAAGAACGTTGGATCACTGGTTCAAAAAAAGTTTTAAAGTTTTATATGATACCTCTGAAAGGAGATTTCGAGTTAAATTTCTAACAAATTCTGTCATTGCTTGGACGCTGTAAAATCTTTATGTATCTGATGTTATCCCTGGGAAATTCTGTGAATTTGTCACACTGTCTTTTTAAGTCAGAAATGATATTATCAGGCGCTTCCTGTAAGTATTCTATAAATGTGGGTTAACAGTCACCCAAGCTAGTTAAATGGGATTCACACGTTTGTATGTTATCCTGGGGCTAAAATCTCACAGGTCACATTCTAAAGTTGGAGGGGGCATGTTGGAGAGACCAAGTATTTGACTGACAAGGAGGGGATTCGTGGGATAGTGCCCCAAATACGTGGCAAAAGATGGTAAATGTTTATGCAGCATATATAGAGTAAAATTAACGGTTTATAAAACTTAATCATGGCATATAATACCATATGGGGAGACCGTTAAAAGTGTCACTGAAAAGTATTCTATCCTATGCTTCTGTTGGGCAACTCTTTTATAAATCCCCAAATCCCAGCAACATAAGAATATTATGTCCAATGTACCCAGACCTCACAGCCACAGTTTATCCAAAAGATGGGGCCCACTCACCCACACCTGGATTTCAAATGTTCGTCAAAGAAAATGAGTGACTGCAACACTTTTCTGTTGTAAAAAGTGAATGGACAGATTGATAAGCAACAGTCAAGAAAAACTGTGTGAAATAAAAAATTGCACCAAAACTAAATAATAAAAGGAGCGAAACTGAATGCGAATGTTTGTTAAATCTTCCCCATTGTACTTAAGATGTCAAAGATCTAGATATAATTGCAATAAGAGGTCAATTTAAGCAAGATAAAAATATTACATCATTATTCTGCATTCACTGTCTTTGCAGAGAGTCGCATGAACCTGCAGCAATTTTTAAAATTGCTGCAGCTATAAACCAACCCAACTGGTCAGGGTCAATTGGGTCACAAAATAGTCCCACATATTTAAAACCACAGCACGCACAATCACAATAACAAACAAACTTTTACACCAATAATTTAATGTAGACAGGTTCCACTTTCATACTCTGATACAAGATAGAAAGGTGCTTCCTCGTACTTTGTGATATACGGTATAGATGTGCTTCCTCATACTGTCTGTGATATAGGGTAGAGCAGTGCTTCCCTCATACTCTGAGATATTAGGTAAAGAAATGTTCCCCTCATACTCTGTGATATAAGGTAAAGAGACATTCCCCTCATACTCTGTGATATAAGGTAAAGAGACGTTCCCCTCATTCTCAGTGATAAAAGGCAGTGATATCTTTCTCTCATACTCTGTGATGTAAGGTAGTGATATGTTTCCCTCATACTCAGTGATATAAGGTAAAGAGACGTTCCCCTCATACTCTGTGAAGTAAGGTGCAAAGTGTTTCTCTCATACTCTGTGATATAAAGTAGTGATATATTTCTCTCATAATATGTGATATAAGGTAGTGATATGTTTCTCTTATACTCTGTGATATAAGGTAGTGATATGTTTCTCTCATACTCAGTGATATAAGGTAGAGATTTGTTTCTCTCATACTCTGTGATATAAGGTAGTGATATGTTTCTCTCATACTCAGTGATATAAGGTAGAGATTTGTTTCTCTCATACTCAGTGATATAAGGTAGTGATATGTTTCTCTCATACTCTGTGATATAAGGTAGTGATTTCTTTCTCTCATACTCAGTGATATAAGGTAGTGATATGTTTCTCTCATACTCAGTGATATAAGGTAGAGATATGTTTCTCTCATACTCAGTGATATAAGGTAGAGATATGTTTCTCTCATACTCAGTGATATAAAGTAGAGATATGTTTCTCTCATACTCTGTGATATAAGGTAGAGATATGTTTCTCTCATTCTCTGTGATATAAGGTAGAGATATGTTTCTCTCATACTCAGTGATATAAGGTAGTGATATGTTTCTCTCATACTCAGTGATATAAGGTAGAGATATGTTTCGCTCATACTCAGTGATATAAGGTAGAGATATGTTTCGCTCATACTCAGTGATATAAGGTAGAGATATGTTTCTCTCATACTCAGTGATATAAGGCGGTGATAGCTTTCTCTCATACTCTGTGATATAAGGTAGAGATATGTTTCTCTCATACTCTGTGATATAAGGTAGAGATATATTTATCTCATACTCTGTGATATAAGGTAGAGATATATTTATCTCATACTCTGTGATATAAGGTAGTGATTTGTTTCTCTCATACTCTGTGATATAAAGGTAGTGATATGTTTCTCTCATACTCTGTGATATAAGGTAGAGATATATTTCTCTCATACTCTGTGATATAAGGTAGAGATATGTTTCTCTCATACTCAGTGATATAAGGTAGAGATATGTTTCTCTCATACTCAGTGATATAAGGTAGAGATATGTTTCTCTCATACTCAGTGATATAAGGTAGAGATATATGTTTCTCTCATACTCTGTGATATAAGGTAGTGATATATTTCTCTCATACTCAGTGATATAAGGTAGTGAGATATATAGAGATATGTTTCTCTCTACTCTGTGATATAAGGTAGAGATATGTTTCTCTCATACTCTGTGATATAAGGTAGAGATATGTTTCTCTCATACTCTGTGATATAAGGTAGAGATATATTTCTCTCATACTCTGTGATATAAGGTAGAGATATGTTTCTCTCACTCAGTGATATAATGTATTGATATGTTTCTCTCATACTCAGTGATATAAGGTAGAGATATGTTTCTCTCATACTCTGTGATATAAGGTAGAGATATATTTATCTCATACTCTGTGATATAAGGTAGAGATATGTTTCTCTCATACTCTGTGATATAAGGTAGAGATATATTTATCTCATACTCTGTGATATAAGGTAGTGATTGTTTCTCTCATACTCAGTGATATAAGGTAGAGATATGTTTCTCTCATACTCGGGTAGAGATATAAGGCGTGATATAAGGTAGAGATAGTGATATAAGGTAGAGATATGTTTCTTTCTCTCATACTCTGACTCGGTGATATAAGATAGCTGTGATATAAGGTAGAGATATGTTTCTCTCATACCCAGTGATATAAGGTAGAGATATGTTTCTCTCATACTCAGTGATATAAGGTAGTGATATATTTTTCTCATACTCAGTGATATAAGGTAGTGATATATTTCTCTCATACTCAGTGATATAAGGTAGTGATATATTTCTCTCATACTCAGTGATATAAGGTAGAGATATGTTTCTCTCTTACTCTGTGATATAAGGTAGAGATATGTTTCTCTCATACTCAGTGATATAAGGTAGAGATATGTTTCTCTCATACTCAGTGATATAAGGTAGAGATATGTTTCTCTCATACTCAGTGATATAAGGTAGAGATATGTTTCTCTCATACTCTGTGATATAAGGTAGAGATATGTTTCTCTCATACTCTGTGATATAAGGTAGAGATATGTTTCTCTCATACTCAGTGATATAAGGTAGAGATATGTTTCTCTCATACTCTGTGATATAAGGTAGAGATATATTTATCTCATACTCTGTGATATAAGGTAGAGATATGTTTCTCTCATACTCTGTGATATAAGGTAGAGATATATTTATCTCATACTCTGTGATATAAGGTAGAGATATATTTATCTCATACTCTGTGATATAAGGTAGTGATTTGTTTCTCTCATACTCTGTGATATAAGGTAGTGATATGTTTCTCTCATACTCTGTGATAAAAGGTAGAGATATATTTCTCTCATACTCTGTGATATAAGGTAGAGATATGTTTCTCTCATACTCAGTGATATAAGGTAGAGATATGTTTCTCTCATACTCAGTGATATAAGGTAGAGATATGTTTCTCTCATACTCAGTGATATAAGGTAGAGATTTGTTTCTCTCATACTCTGTGATATAAGGTAGTGATTTGTTTCTCTCATACTCTGTGATATAAGGTAGAGATATATTTATCTCATACTCTGTGATATAAGGTAGAGATATGTTTCTCTCATACTCTGTGATATAAGGTAGTGATATGTTTCTCTCATACTCTGTGATATAAGGTAGAGATATATTTCTCTCATACTCTGTGATATAAGGTAGAGATATGTTTCTCTCGTACTCAGTGATATAATGTATTGATATGTTTCTCTCATACTCAGTGATATAAGGTAGAGATATGTTTCTCTCATACTCTATGATATATGGTAGAGCTATGTTTCTCTCATACTCAGTGATATAAGGTAGAGATTTGTTTCTCTCATACTCTGTGATATAAGGTAGTGATATGTTTCTCTCATACTCAGTGATATAAGGTAGAGATTTGTTTCTCTCATACTCAGTGATATAAGGTAGTGATATGTTTCTCTCATACTCAGTGATATAAGGTAGAGATATGTTTCTCTCATACTCAGTGATATAAGGCAGAGATATGTTTCGCTCATTCTCTGTGATATAAGGTAGAGATATGTTTCTCTCATACTCAGTGATATAAGGTAGTGATATGTTTCTCTCATACTCAGTGATATAAGGTAGAGATATGTTTCGCTCATACTCAGTGATATAAGGCAGAGATGTTTCGCTCATACTCAGTGATATAAGGTAGAGATATGTTTCTCTCATACTCTGTGATATAAGGTAGAGATATATTTATCTCATACTCTGTGATATAAGGTAGTGATTTGTTTCTCTCATACTCGGTGATATAAGGTAGAGATATCTTTCTCTCATACTCAGTGATATAAGGTAGAGATATGTTTCTTATTAGTGTTTTGGTTCCCATACTCGGTGTTATACGGTAGAGAAATTACTGCGCGATCACCTGGTATGAGGAAAGAACCTTCTGATGTATTCACGCATGCCGCGGAGCTCCATGGGGGCGGGTGCTTCCTGGGAGTTCATTTTTATTGGTCGCGCAGTTTGGAATGGCCTGAGACATGGTGAGAGCCCCTGGTATGTGACATTCATGGTGAGACTGGCCTGAGACATGGTGAAGGCTCCTGGTATGTGACCTTCATGGTGAGACTGGCCTGGGACATGGTGAGAGCCCCTGGTATGTGACATTCATGGTTAGACTGGCCTGGGACATGGTGAGAGCCCCTGGTATGTGACATTAATGGTGAGACTGGCCTGGGACATGGTGAGAGCTCCTGGTATGCGACATTCATGGTGAGACTGGGCTGGGACATGGTGAGAGCTCCTGGTATGTGACATTCATGGTGAGACTGGCCTGGGACATGGTGAGAGCCTCTGGTATGTGACATTCATGGTGAGACTGGGCTGGAACATGGTGAGAGCTCCTGGTATGTGACATTCATGGTGAGACTGGCCTGGGACATGGTGAGAGCTCCTGGTATGTGACATTCATGGTGAGACTGGCCTGGGACATGGTGAGAGCTCCTGCTATGTGACATTCATGGTGAGACTGGGCTGGAACATGGTGAGAGCTCCTAGTATGTGACATTCATGGTGAGACTGGCCTGAGACATGGTGAGAGCCCCTGGTATGTGACATTCATGGTGAGACTGGGCTGGAACATGGTGAGAGCTCCTGGTATGTGACATTTATGGTGAGACTGGCCTGGGACATGGTGACACCTCCTGGTATGTGACATTCATGGTGAGACTGGGCTGGGACATGGTGAGAGCTACTGGTATGTGACATTCATGGTGAGACTGGCCTGGGACATGGTGAGAGCTCCTGGTATGTGACATTCATGGTGAGACTGGCCTGGAACATGGTGAGAGCCCCTGGTATGTGACATTCATGGTGAGACTGGCCTGGGACATGGTGACACGTCCTGGTATGTGACATTCATAGTGAGACTGGGCTGGGACATGGTGAGAGCTCCTGGTATGTGACATTCATGGTGAGACTGGACTGGGACATGGTGACACCACCTGGTATGTGACATTCATGGTAAGACTGGGCTGGGACATGGTGAGAGCTCCTGGTATGTGACATTCATGGTGAGACTGGCCTGAGACATGGTGAGAGCCCCTGGTATGTGACATTCATGGTGAGACTGGCCTGGGACATGGTGAGAGCTCCTGGTATGTGACATTCATGGTGAGACTGGCCTGGGACATGGTGAGAGCCTCTGGTATGTGACATTCATGGTGAGACTGGGCTGGGACATGGTGAGAGCTCCTGGTATGTGACATTCATGGTGAGACTGGCCTGGGACATGGTGAGAGCTCCTGGTATGTGACATTCATGGTGAGACTGGGCTGGGACATGGTGAGATCTCCTGGTATGTGACATTCATGGTGAGACTGGCCTGGACATGGTGAGAGCCCCTGGTATGTGACATTCATGGTGAGACTGGCTGGGACATGGTGAGAGCTCCTGGTATGTGACATTCATGGTGAGACTGGCCTGGGACATGGTGAGAGCCTCCTGGTATGTGACATTCATGGTGAGACTGGCCTGGGACATGGTGAGAGCTCCTGGTATGTGACATTCATGGTGTGACTGGCCTGTGACATGGTGTGAGCCTCTTGTATGTGACATTCATGGTGAGACTGGCCTGGAACATGGTGAGAGCTACTGGTATGTGACAGTCATGGTGAGACTGGCCTTGGACAAGGTGAGACCCCCTGGTATGTGACATTCATGGTGAGACTGGGCTGGGACATGGTGAGAGCTCCTGGTATGTGACAGTCATGGTGAGACTGGCCTGGGACATGGTGAGAGCCCCTGTTATGTGGCATTCATGGTGAGACTGGCCTGGGACATGGTGAGAGCTCCTGGTATGTGACATTCATGGTGTGACTGGCCTGTGACCTGGTGTGAGCCTCTTGTATGTGACATTCATGGTGAGACTGGCCTGGAACATGGTGAGAGCCCCTGGTATGTGACATTCATGGTGAGACTGGCCTGGGACATGGTGACACGTCCTGGTATGTGACATTCATAGTTAGACTGGGCTGGGACATGGTGAGAGCTCCTGGTATGTGACATTCATGGTGAGACTGGCCTGGGACATGGTGACACCTCCTGGTATGTGACATTCATGGTGAGACTGGGCTGGGACATGGTGAGAGCTCCTGGTATGTGACATTCATGGTGAGACTGGCCCGAGACATGGTGAGAGCCCCTGGTATGTGACATTCATGGTGAGACTAGCCTGGGACATGGTGAGAGCTCCTGGTATGTGACATTCATGGTGAGACTGGCCTGGGACATGGTGACACCTCCTGGTATGTGACATTCATGGTGAGACTGGGCTGGGACATGGTGAGAGCTACTGGTATGTGACATTCATGGTGAGACTGGCCTGGGACATGGTGACACCTCCTAGTATGTGACATTCATGGTGAGACTGGGCTGGGACATGGTGAGAGCTCCTGGTATGTGACATTCATGGTGAGACTGGCCTGAGACATGGTGAGAGCCCCTGGTATGTGACATTCATGGTGAGACTGGCCTGGGACATGGTGAGAGCTCCTGGTATGTGACATTCATGGTGAGACTGGCCTGGAACATGGTGAGAGCCCCTGGTATGTGACATTCATGGTGAGACTGGCCTGGGACATGGTGACACCTCCTGGTATGTGACATTCATGGTGAGACTGGCCTGAGACATGGTGAGAGCCCTTGGTATGTGACATTCATGGTGAGACTGGGCTGGAACATGGTGAGAGATCCTAGTATGTGACATTCATGGTGAGACTGGCCTGGGACATGGTGAGAGCTCCTGGTATGTGACATTCATGGTGAGACTGGCCTGGAACATGGTGAGAGCCCCTGGTATGTGACATTCATGGTGAGACTGGCCTGGGACATGGTGACACCTCCTGGTATGTGACATTCATGGTGAGACTGGCCTGGGACATGGTGAGAGCTACTGGTATGTGACATTCATTGTGAGACTGGCCTGGGACATGGTGAGAGCTACTGGTATGTGACAGTCATGGTGAGACTGGCCTTGGACATGGTGAGACCCCCTGGTATGTGACATTCATGGTGAGACTGGGCTGGGACATGGTGAGAGCTCCTGGTATGTGACAGTCATGGTGAGACTGGCCTGGGACATGGTGAGAGCCCCTGTTATGTGGCATTCATGGTGAGACTGGCCTGGGACATGGTGAGAGCTCCTGGTATGTGACATTCATGGTGTGACTGGCCTGTGACCTGGTGTGAGCCTCTTGTATGTGACATTCATGGTGAGACTGGCCTGTGATGTGGTGTACGCCCCTTGTATGTGACATTCATGGTGAGACTGGCCTGGAACATGGTCAGAGCCCCTGGTATGTGACATTCATGGTGTGACTGGCCTGTGACCTGGTGTGAGCCTCTTGTATGTGACATTCATGGTGAGACTGGCCTGTGATATGGTGTAAGCCCCTTGTATGTGACATTCATGGTGAGACTGGCCTGGAATATGCTGAGAGCCCCTGGTATGTGACATTTATGGCGAGACTGGCCTGGGACATGGTGAGAGCTCCTCGTATGTGACATTCATGGTGAGACTGGCCTGAAACATGGTGAGAGCTCCTGATATGTGACATTCATGGTGAGAGTGGCCTGGGACATGGTGAGAGCCCCTTATATGTGACATTCATGGTGTGATTGGCCTGGGACATGGTGAGAGCTCCTGATATGTGACATTCATGGTGTGTAGCTTTGGACATGGTGAGAGCCCCTGGTATGTGACATTCATGGTAAGACATGATGAGAGCCCCTTGTATGTGACATTCATGGGGAAACTGGCCTGAAACATGGTGAGAGCTCCTGATATGTGACATTCACGGTGAGAGTGGCCTGGGACATGGTGAGAGCCCCTGATATGTGACATTCATGGTGAGACTAGCCCGAGACATGGTGAAACCCCCTGGTGTGTGACATTCATGGTGTGAGCCCCTAGTGTATGACATTAATGGTTAGACATGGTGTGAACCCTTGTGACATGGTGAGTCTACCTCAGATATAGTGAGAGACCCTAGTATGTGACACTCATTGTGAGACATGATGTGAACCCCTGGCATGTGACATTAACCGTGAGACTGGCCTGTGACATGGTGAGAGCTCTTGGTATGTGACATTCATGGCGTGACTGGCTCACACATGGTGTCAACCCCAGGTATGTAGCAGTCTAGTGTTACTGTTATATTTCCCATGTGCTGCAGTATCTAGAGATGACCAGAGTGACACACTGTGATGAGTATGAATGATCATGGTCTTCATGGAGAGATTGGTGATTGATGGTATGATAGCTCTAAAATATAGCAGATGTTGTGCGACTAATGTGAAATACATGCCATGAGTCTAATTATCATTAAAATCAAATTTGGTTTGCATTTATTCAGTAAATAAGAGGGCTACATTTTAATAGAATAATGGTAAATGTGTTCAATCTGCTTAAAATATTTAATGTCCAGAATGGATTTACCTGTGATAATAAAACTCCCAAACACAGCTTATATTATGATTTCATTGGGAATAATAAAGAATGCAGCCTACGGTCTATATACTGTTTACATTCTGAATTGTTTAGTTTTTAAACAATATATAAAAATTAATGTTAATCAGTGACGTGTTTGCCCTAGTACCAGCAATATGTTTAGTCTGCTCTCCAGCAGAAG